GGACATACACTTTGAACCTATTTCGTTAGGAAAAAGAATGTTCTATTCTGGTAGTTTTGGAAACACTGATTGGAAAGAATATATTAAAATTGATGGTATGTGATTTGTATGTATTACTCCGTTTATTAGATGATAAAATTATAATAATATGTAATGACGGTAATTTAAATTTTATTTTTTTATTTTATTTTTAGAATTTCATAAAAGCCATGAGACACTTGAAATATACACACGATTTCTTGAAACCTTACCAAAAAAACTTTACAACTGGGCACTCTACAAATGTCTTGACTGTAATGCAATATCTTCAAATTTAAGGATAATTGGTCCATGCTGGCAAACGAATAATTGGTTCGACGAAAATCATTACCTACCTCAGATGCCACATAAATTTGAAATAATTGAGAATGTCGATGTTTTTTTAAATTCAAAAGTCTCATTGAATATGTTGGGAAGAGCATATTCTCAACGAAATAATTTGTAAGAAATTTATTTCATATTATGATAAATAAAAAAATTTATATGGATTAATAATTTAAATGTATATATATTTTTTTATTTCTACATATTAGAAAATCTAAACATTTACACAATTTTTTGCAAGGCATTTTGGGATTTCCTTATTTTGTTAAACATTGCGAGATGTACGTGTGCATTCAATGCGGAAGCCTTTCAATAATGAAACAAGGTAGTTTATGCAGGTCACCTTACCATAAACACGTATTTAATAGAATAATTGATGTATTTCCCTTTTATGATGAACCCATTAATTTATTTGAATTTCAGAATATACTTCGAACAGCTTTAGATATTACTTACCCTGATAAACCTGTCTATAGAACCAGTAAAATAAATGGAAATTAAAAAAAAATTAAAAATAGATACATAATTACTTTCGAATTAATGTTCTATTTAAAGTATGGTCATTTTATCTTTTGGGGATTTTCATTTACCATTATTATAATTATAGTCGACAGATATATTAAATATATTTTTGGATTTTAATCAACTGTTTTTTGAGATAGCAGCTAATTAGTTCATGGCTCAAAGTTTATGCACAATCTGCATTAGGCATTATATCGCCATACTATCTATTTTAGTAATTATTCTAATCTTAACCTTTTTTTTTTTTTTTATTAACGAATTAACAAATTAGCTTCAGTGTGAGGATCATATTTATTATTATAAATTATTATAATATTTATATATTATAGAAATTAATTGATAAGACTTACAATTTTCGGGGTTCATTGAACGTTTAAAAGAGCCAAAAGAGTCCTAATTAATACAGTAACATGTTGAATACACCCCCCAAAAATAATATTAATTAAAATGCAATAACAGATGATAAAGTTTACTAATAAAAATAAGTATGTACATACGTACGTACATACATGCTATTATTACATACAGATCCGTTTTTCATTTACTCATTAATTAAATGCAATAATAAATTTTTTTTCGTGTTGCACACACAAAAACAATATACTATCTATTATTGAAATAAATGACACTATTTATAACATTCCGAGGATTTTGAATTGAAAATGCGTAACCCGAGAATTAGAATGCATCACATAAGGTAACAGTGTGAAATGTCATAATGATATATGTTGTATAACAAAATCTTTAAAACCGTAATTTTGGCAGATTGATGTGAAACCAACGGTTGTATAATTATTCGGCTAAATATATATATACTTTGACCTATTTTGACTATTTCGGGTTGCTGAAGATCTACTTGCATTATGCCTCGGCGGGAATACAGAATTAGTGTCACAACATCACCACTTTCAAATTTAGTAGTCGGCGACACGAATTTAGAAGTTAAAATCTTTATTTTTTGTTCGTGTACGTACCTATGCTGGTCAATGTATTCTCGGAGAGTTTGTGGCTGGCCTTCAAAGTTCTCCAAATTATTAAAAAAAAAAGCATAAACTCTCTGAAAAGTACTATATTTTATCATTAGCATAATGAGTCAAAATCACACTTCTGATTCTCGAGTGAGTTTTATATTTAACTTTGAATGCTTGAACAAATTTTTTTAAATTAATTATTTAAATATAAAAGTTAAATACAAGTGAAGGCGTTCAAAGTAAAAGCAATGTAGACGACTTAGAAGTGGAGGAAGATATTGAGAATGGTGGTGGCTTAAGTAGTGGTAGCCAAACTCTTGGAGAGTTTTACAAAGAGGTCAGTTTAACATTTGCGATAAATATGAAATTTGTCTTTGCTTTTCGTTCGTTGTAATTATTGAATTTAAACTCCACTCATAAAACTAAGTATTGTAAATTTTTATTTCTATTTCTATAGGTAAATTCCATAACAGAAATGATTCGTTCGATAAGGGAAAATATTACAGCTCTCAAAGATTTATATAAAAGAACCTTGGCTGTAGAAACGGAAGATGAGAGTTCTCGTTGAGCACCGTTCCTAATTTATTGTTCATGTCTTACTTTGTACAATTAATGAATAATTCTTGAATTTATTACTTAGTTGGTTTATTTTATTTGAATAAATTACTTTAGGTTTGTCACGGCAACTTGAGTTATTGATTTCGGAGACCAGTCGAATAAGCGGCGAAATTAGCCGCAAATTGGCATGTATGTTATACATTTATTTATTTATTTATTTATTTATCGTTTTCTTTTCCTTTGATAAAAAGTATTTGAGAAGTATTTGAGATTTATATCGATAATTTAACATTTACTCAAATAAAGCTATGGAAAAAAGTAATAAATCACTCGGAGGACAGGATCAAGCAAAAAAGAGATCAACGCAGGTACCTGATATTTATTTATATCATATTGCTTCTTCATTTTACGATATCATTCTGACAATAATTTTAATTAATTCGAAGCATGCAACCCTAGCAAAAGAATTTATGGATACAATGACTAGCTATCGCAATATGCAGATAGAAAATGCTAGGAAATATAGAAAGAAAATTACAGAGCAATATCTTAAAGGTAGAAGCCTATTCTAATTTTATTTGTTGACATTCTGGGAGAAGTATTTGCGACAGATAATCTTATTTGTTTTTTTATGTAGTAAATCCTGATGCTACACAAGAAGAAATTGATCAATTCATAGATAATGACATAAATAAGGTACCTTTCATTACAATTAATGAAATACTTGTTTAATACAAAATTTATTTAAAGTTATTTAAATTTAAATTAGATACAATCATCAACAGAGCCCGATCAGTCGAGCACAATTATTACGGAAATTCAAGACCGTCAACGTGATGTTCGACGGATTGAAAATTCAATAAATGTATGAATTCCATCAGCATTTACCTGGATTTACCTTTTTATATTATTCGGACTAACGGGTAGGATTTGGAGAATTCAAGGTTACTCTAATTGGATGATTATATATTTAAATTTCAATATTACTTCTATATACATCCAGTGTCGAGAATTTCAAACTTCTCCGGCTTAATGTAACCTTGAAGATTCATCAAATCCTATTCGTATGTTCCAGCTTTGGTTCATAGAATTCCTATCTATCCTCTAACGTTGTCATATACTATATAACATATCAATAGGAACTAAAAAATAAGTTTAACGAAATTCAAGCATTAGTAATAGAAAAAGATGATACGGTTCACACCACAAGATTTTTTGAATTGACTCAAGACTCACCACAAACTGAAAGAATCGTACGCCAACCTAAAATAAGTCACACAAACAAAAACAGAAGGGTAAGATTTTAATTATAATTTAATTTAATTAAAAGTTTGTACTAAATGTCATTTTATTAACATTCTTTATAATACAGAATATATTAATGATAATATTAGCTATAATTTTAATTTTAGTAGTTCTTGGTATTATTGTAGCATTGATTATTTTTTTTGCTGTCTTTCAATAATTTATTTTATTTATTTATTTATTTATTTTTTTAGAAATACAGTATAAAGGAATGTTGATTTGTTCTTTTTTTTTTTAAAACATGTAAATCAAACTTAATTGTACAATAGCTAGATTTAGTTTTATAAATATTATATAGGGTTTATAGGGTAGTTAAATTTACAATTCTGTTTATAAATATTAAGACTAGGTAATTTGTCTATAACTTAGGTTTATAGGTTTTGTATTTTAGCATTTAGTACTGAATAATCATTTCTATATATTATATCATGGATTAATTATTGGTATTATAAAAATCTCATGAACAGAATCATGGTTGTAAAGTTAATGATAAGATAGGATTGCTAAATTATAATTACTGTATATATTTGTATATTGAATTTTTTCATGTTTTACTGTTTAAATAGGAAAATAATTATTTATGCTGTTATTATAAAAAAAGTTTATTTAAAAGTTTACTTATGCAATTAAGTAAGCGTTTATTTATATAAATTATACTCATTACAATATTAAACTTGATAGAATAATTCTCATGTTTAAGACTGTAAAATGCTGCCCAATTTTCAAAAGCTTTATAGCTGTTCTGAGTCGATTATACAAGTTTGCTGACGTCGGTGGCTTTTCAATTCTGCGCCAATGATTTAAATAAACTTTTTTTTTATGGCTATGCTATCAAAAATAATCTCAGAGAACAGCTGTAAAAACTAGATGATCATAGATTAGTCTAAATTGGGAGTATCATTAAAGCCAGATAAAGATTTAAGTTCTTTTTTAAGAATGTGTAGTCCGTAACACAACTGTTATAAAGATGAGAGCAACAGCTATAGATACGCGGAGTCCGGAATCCGGAGAAATTTAAATATTTCCGCTTCTCCTTTTCAATTTATTACCTAGTCATTCTGGTTAGTTGTATGTACCAGATGTACCAGTAAATAACAATTTACATCAAAAATTGTCAACTTTATAATATCATATTTTATTCTATCTTTTTTTTTTTATATATTTTTTACAATCCAAGTTAAAAGCAGACTATTTGTCCGATATGCTAAGATCGCTAAAGAAACTTGGAAAAAAGGATAATGATGCTTTATGTCTTTATCCTGGTTGCCCAAATAAAGTTAAAAGAGGCAGAAATGGGATTGATTTTAACTATTGTAGCACTGCCTGTCAATTAGCAAGTTTTCAGAGTATCAATCCAGAACCTGTGAATGGTTATGAAGTTGCGCCGGAGGTTTACGATGTGGATGCAACAGAGACACAGCAGTGGTCACAGCCACAAACTAATCCTGTAATATTAGAATCCTCGTCACAACCTTCTCAAAATTCTAACGATACTAATAAATTTTCAAGAAATCCATTTGGATTACTTCAACAATCTTCTAGCTCTTCATCTTATTTTCCTACTTCTCAACAAGAATACACACCAACCAATGACTATTACGCGTCCTCAAAACAGTCTGAGCCAAATTTCTCAACGTGGTTAGATCCTAATGTTAACCCGGATAACCTAAGCTTTTCGCCATTTGAACAAACTTCAAACGATTCAGCCGAAGCAAAGACTGTATTTTGTTCGAATTGTACATATTTTGTTCGACCAAACAGAACAACATGTGAAATATGTGGTACCAATGTCAAAAAGGAAAAATCTGTGCAAAATGAACTGTCTGATTACTGGATCAAAAAGGCTGAAGAGGAAGAAGATGATTTGTATATAGATGTTCTTACTAACCATACTCCAGTGCAGAAAACGCGTCAGCAACCGCAGCTGCAACAACAACAACAACAACAACAACAACAGCAGCAACAGCAACAACAACAACAACAACAGCAACAACAACAACAACAGCTGCAACAACAACAAACACCACAGGATGATGATAAGAATCATATAATATGTCAAAGTTGCATGTTTTTAAATCATCCATTGTTAAGTTATTGTGAAATATGCGAATCCCAGTTAATTACAGTTATTGATGATGATGATGATGATGGGATTAATAATTCCATACTTGCTTTCAATAACAACGTATATCATGAGGATGCGGCGATTCGATGTTCTGCCTGTTCATTCCTTAATAATCCTATTCATTCTCAATGTGAGATGTGTTATTCACCTATTGGGGATTTGGAATTTTTAAATGTACCCGATTTGAATATGCAACAGTGTCCTGTATGCACATTGTATAACCAAGATAACATGACTACCTGTGAAGCTTGTGGTAGTTTTTTGAAACAGCTTACTCCAATACTTAATACTATAATGACAGTTTTAGAACAAACAAGTAACCAATATAGGGAAATACATAGAAGATTTGCAGCAACTATGCCTAATGTTCAAGTTGTAGCCATTATTGGCTTGCAGATGCCGACAAGGCTTGTTGAAGCACATGAAAGGTATAAGAATGATATGGCCCGAGGATCTCGAGTTACTCCAGAAAGCATCACCCATAAAATGTTTCATGGTACTAAATGTATTTGTAATAATCCGACTAATTACGCACAATGGAATCATTGTCGTAATAATGGATGTGGAGCATGGTAAAACTCTTATTTATAATATTATGATTATTGCATGATTTTAGTCTCTTTTTTACATTAACCTCAATCGACTACCATTAAATTATGAATAGCGGAATCGCACGAAATGGGAATTCTTCTACATTTGGTCGATGTGGTGGAGGGCGTTAGTATACTTATCATAATTAAATAATTTATTCGTTTACTTTTTTTATTAAAAAATTAATTGTAACTTTTAATACAAATGAAGGCATGTGGTTTGCCCAACAATCCAATATTTCATATAACTATTGTACCCCGGGAGCTACAATTAAAACTATGTATACCGTTGATGTCGTTTCTTTGGCACCACCAACTGCATCGGTTCTTATAGTTAATAGAAATGAGGCAAGTATAATAGTTATTTAATTTTTTTTTGAAAAAAAATTTATATTTGTTTATGTTTTGTAGGCTACCCTCATCGAATCATTGATACTATTTCGAGGTTAATTTTTCTATCATATACAATAAGAGAATGAGTTTCTTAGATGCTAAATATCGTACATAAAAGGAATTTGGTGATTTTTAAGAACTATTGACATATATACGTATATTGATGAGTTACTTATCCTCAATTCATTTAATATGAGAAATTTTGTATTTGTTTAGATTCAATTCTCTTATTGAAGATATTTTTGATACTAAAATTGGTATATAAGTAAGCAGACTAGTCCGTGAATATATGCCTAAAAAGATAAAATTAAGAAACAGTTTTTCATAAATGCTATTTAAAATAAAGTTAAATTATTTTTAGAAGTCTAATAATAGGCTTGTTTGCACACATGTGATACATCCATTGATTGGCCAGTAATAATGCGAAATTAAATGTAACGTTACACGAACGCGAAAACCTAAATTTACTCAGAACTTTGCTTACTAAACGTTATTCTTAAGAAAGTTTAGTATATAATCGACTCTAATTCTGAAAACTTGTTCTGTTCAATTTTATGCTAATAAACCAAGGTGCATATAAAAAAAAAAAGGCCACATTTAGTAAAATCAAACGTTATATACTATTGTCATTGTGCTGATTAAATGATAGGATAAACTTTAATCAATGTTACTATTATCATTGTACTGATTTAAATGATAGGGATAATTTTAAATTTGCGGTAAAATTTTGATAGCATATACTGGACGTATGCATCTCAAAAAAAGAAAAAAAAAATAAAAACTTAAAAAATTCGCAATTCTTTTTATCAAAAACAAACCCAAAAAAAAAGGGAAAATAAGCTTAAGCTTCAACCTATTCATAATTTTCTTATTAATATTTAAAATATTTAAATCTGCAGTGCATATTATTATCTATTTCTGAGAATTACAGTTTATAAATTCTGAAATTTAAATAAAGTTTTTGTATAAAATTATTTATATTACGTACATTCGTTATATTAAAGTTTTTAAAGTTTTTGTTATTTTTGACCATTATTATTGCGGAGGTTGCATGTCAAACTTTCTTAATTCTATATATATTCTTTATCATTATTATATATTCTTAAGAGATAAATGGATAAATTAATTAATTAAATTAAAGCTATATTCAAAAAAAAAAAAAAACATGATCAATTAATACATACCCGGTAGTTTAAATTTAAAACAAAGAAATTTATTATCGGTATCACTTACATCGTCTTCCAAGCAAAATTTTTAACATATTTTCACATGTGATGTGGTGTATGATAAAGAAACAAAATTATTAAATATTATTTTTGGAAACACGGTTTCCTTTTCTTGTTTCTTTTTGATTTTTAAATATTAAGTCACGATTGCACGGGATTTGCTCTATATATGCTTGACTCAGCTTACAGCTGTTCTCATAAACTCTGGGACAAGCTAATAGTTGCTGTTACCAAGATCTCTTTATTCTCGTCTTAAGGACCATGGGGCTCCTTAGGAGTTGCGTCATTGTCTTCGGATCGAAGTTCTGAAGATAGTGACGTAGCGTCCGAAGGCAATTTCAGTTTGTTCCAGAATTATGAGAACTGTTGTAAAGATCATTAATTACGCGCGTTTGTAAAATACCCAAAATTTAAAATTTGACCACCATTGTGAGTCATTTAATTGACTTCGCATATATGTAATGTTATTATTCTAATCCTAACTATGATATACTTGTAGATGATTTTTAAATTTTTTGTTATCCATAAAATACTGTCAATGTAATTGAAGTTATATGAACGTACATATATGTAACGATAATTTTAAAATGGGTTGCGATAGTGAGAAAATGGGTTAGACGTATTGTTTATTATACCGGGTGTTCAAAAAGTTCCTATACACGGTCCCTTTTTTATATATGTTGTAAGTGGAAGCAGAATATTTAAGGGTTAATTTTATAATATGTAAACCCGTACCCTTACCCTAATTTAATTAGGAAATTCCGAATCACTTGAATTTAGTTCCTACTTACAACATATATATTCATTTTCGATAATAAAATATGAATCATAATTTCATTACGACGCGTTTGTCAAATTTAACCATATTTGGTCCCCAAATTTAAGGTCCAAATTTATTATTGATTTCCTATTATTAAACCCTAGAAAAAAATTCTTGATACCAGGTGTTCAAAAAGTTCCTATACGTGGTCCCTTTTTTTTTTTTTAAATAATCTAGACCATAAATAATCATCGTGATCTCTATATATGTTGTAAGTAGGAACTATTGTTCGGCACAAACAAACAAAAATTTGATAGTCAAATATATATTATACTTATGATTTAGTCAGACATCAAATAATCGAATACTATATATATATATATATATGTATATAGTCCGGCTTGATCACAAGTATTTAACTATCAAATTTTTGTTTGATTGTGCCGAGCACTAGTAGGAACAGAATTCAAGTGGATCGGAATTTTCTAGTTAATTAAGGTAAGGGTACGGGTGTAATGTACATATTATAAAGATAAACCTTAAAATAGTGGGTTTATACCGGTATAAAAAATTCGAATCCACTTAAAATTCCGCTTCCACTTACAACATATATACAGTATTTGCGTTGTCATGATGATTATTTACAATTTTAATCCATATCAGATTTCTGTTATGTGACTTGTGACTAGTGACTGGACTCGTTTCAACTCGTAACTCGCAAATTAAACTCAGAATAGTACTCGATTGAATTATTCGGTTTATCAAGTCAAACCATTAATTTAATTCGCGAGTAACTCGCGAGTTAAATTTCATGATTCGAATCATGATAAGTTCGAGTTATTATAGTCATGAGTTGACGAGCCCAGTCACTACTTGGATTTGTAAAGTGAATTACATAACTATGTTTTTATCGACACAGCATGGTCAACATTAAAATTATGTTATTGTATGCAGAATTAGATCATGCGCTTCTAAGCAATTCTCAAATTTATGATTGTAACTGGTTTTTCAATTGTCAATCAAGCAAAAGATGCAAAATTTATATACTAAGAAATTTGGTCTTCGACGTCTGTCTGTAATGCGTTCTTTCATATTTGTTCTACGCCATATCCGAGAGGAGTCTGACAGGATCGAATAATATATATGAGAACTGAGAGGTAATATTTGAAAACTAATTATTGTCACGGATCTAATGAAAGGTTTCTATTTAACCCTCTAAAATCCACTATACTTATTTATTATAAACTCTACCCTAAAACGAACCTCTAATCCTAACATTTAACCCTAAACAATGCACCTCAATTTTATTTTTCGGTGGCTTGTCTATTTTTTACATTGCGCAATATTTAATTTTAATCCGTCACTCGTAGTGATGCGGTGGAGTCGTCCCAATGAAGTCCAATGGATTTTTTGATATGAAAAGTTACGGCGTGGCGTAACTTTTTATTAAGCTACAAATAAGCCGTATCTCAATT